GGCCATAGTACACTGAACATCAAGTCAGGTTATTTGGCCTCCATAATGTTAACAGTGATTGCACAACAGCAGCAAGCTTTCTTTGTAATGGCATGAAACTCACCCAGACCTTGTAAGAGGCTGCTATAAGCAAAGCTTATTTTATATTATTCCCAGAAATAACTGATGCGTACCTAGAACTTCCATCCACACATGAGTTAACATCCATCACATACATAGGATAGAGATACCACACACAACAAATCCAGTCAGTCTCCCAAATCAGCAGCTTTCAGAAAAACAAGTGAAAAATTTAGTACTTTCTGCTATTTACAAAACTGAAAGAGAAAATATCAGCACCCTTTATTTTGCAATACAAACCGCCACCAGAACAGGCTACTTCCATTTTGCAGTTCTGCCACTGCTGCACAATGAAGCTGAACAGGAAGGCATTCTTTTCCTCTTACTGATTCCTTGAAGGTTCATTTCATGAAGCCAGGGTCTTCTGTTTTTAATGTGTATCACAATATGGCCTCCTTAAAATAACAAGTGTCTTCCAGAAGAATTTGGGGATTCCACATTTATAACTACCCAGTAAGCAAACTAAAACACAAGTAGTACAAGACTGTCTTCTGTACTGAGAACCTGCAGTTAACTTCAAGTACTTCAGCTGAGTCCTAATTTTAAGGCCTTTTTTTAAAAAAAAATAAAAAAAAAACCCAACTCAGTCCTTTATGCAAGTGAACATCATTCAAGATAAACTGATGCTGGAAGATGACTTTTCTTCCAAAAAGTATGACTTGCCAACTCATTATAGGTTTCTCTCTAACATTAATTTTAAGTGACAGTCTCAGAAGCAACTGTAAGACTACCCTCCCCCTGTATTTGCTGCCCCTTCCTTCTAGCTGCTGTGTTATACACAATACCCAATCTGCTCTAAAATACAAAGGTGGGGAAAGCTATATCCCTGTGAGAGCAAAACCACTAGCACTCATGTACTGCTCGCCATTATGTCTGAACGATTACAACTTTGTACAAAATGGATCATCTTAATGAAGGCACCATGGTAAAACAGAGTGCTCAGCCCTCACACTACAGCAAACACCTGCCCACATCCTGTTCAGAAGTTCTGAAGGCAACACTCAAATGGCAGTTCACCCAGTTACATACCCACGCCACTCTTCTTGTCTGTCTTGCTCCATCTTGCCATTGTACATGAATCCATGAGGCTCTGAAGGATGCCCACCACCAAGGGAACCAAGGTTTATAGGACACAGACTTCAAGATAGGAACAAAGGCACTGGAAGCAAGATCCCTTTCCCAGCTGCTGTCACTCAGGACTAGCAGCAGACTGAGGCAGCTGCGATGGTGCTGCGAGATTTGCTGTTCTGAGCTGAGCTTCCTTCCTCTTTTCTCAACACAAGATCTCATACCCCAGTGTTAGGGGGGAGGGGAATCCCAAACTGGGTGTTGCTGTTGCACGACACTGGCAGTAACACATAAGCAAGCAAAAGGGAATGAAAAAACACCAGCCTGTGACTGCCCCACCACTGATCTTCAGCTCTAAGCTGGAAGGCTGCTGCATGCAAAGCCGTTACACCAACGGTCTCTAGCCATTGGCAAGTTCATCTCTGAAACATCACAGGGCCCTTACTTCTTGCATTGTGCCCAAACTAGATGTTAAACTTCTGACTCCACAGGACACTCCATCTTTGAAGCTACTTTGGGAAGCTGTTTTTCATAATAGACTTCCATTCTTAAGAGAAATGAAGACAAAGCTACATTTCAAGCTACACCCGTTCCTTTTTATTTGTCATTTTACCTTTGGAGGAGAGTAGCAGAGTGTCTCTACTCTCTAAAAGCAGAACTTCCTTAAGGACTTACTGTCAAGACAAAACTTTAAACAGCAATTTATTGTGTATTTTTTCAGCCTTTACTTTCACACAGGCTGCTGTGAGAGCAAAGAGTATTTTGGATGTGCAAAGATCAAGCCAAGTTTTTGTTTAATTTGGATTACTGAACTGAAGACAAGTATGGCACCATCATTTATGTTCTTTACTTGTAGTTGGGAATTAAACAGAAAATGCTTTAAAATATTTACTGTTTGTAAACAAATTCATGTGACAATCCTGTCCCCTGGATGGTACACTGCAATTTAGCAATCCTTGTTTATCAGAGCCGTGAAACAGAGTCTGTGCTACATCCATCATGATATTTTTGATAGCACATGACATGGCGGTTCTTAGTTTTAACCAGCAATCATGAGAAGCACAGGCTGCCTTGTTGCACATGGAACTCTGATGCATAGTTCTGGAGGGAAACCACCATGAAATCCATGTTTATGAAAGTGAGCATGATTCTGAGCAACTCAGATTATCTCCATCTACAGACTATCAGCTTCATCAAAAGTTTGTATCTTTGTTTTCCATGGAACACCCACTTTATAATTGTTTATCAAACAGATTCTGAAGCTGAACCATTTCATCTTTTAGTTTACCACGTATTTTGAGTAATAACTTCCTAACCAGTGATAACTATCTCCCTCACTCCTCTGACCCCATGCTGCAGCAAATCACCCCTTCCCACACACTATTTGGCCTAAAGGTCATGACTTGCATTTATTTTCTTGTTCTACACTGCTCTTCTTCGTTATGCTTTCCTGTCATGCAAAAGTCCTGAAGAAAATCGTTCCTCTCTAGCACTCATTTAAAGACATACTTCAGCATGTAAGTCTAATAAGCCTAAGTAATAAATGCTACTATATTTTGAAAAGTAATTGTATGCAGGAATTCCACCTCCAAACTGGGATCCAATGTGCAATACTTGTCTGACACCCTCCATCTCTCCCACCTGCAGTTGGGTTCTGCAGAGTACAGAGACACCTGAATACCACCATGCATACCTCGGAGCTCAAATTGCTGCTGGTTCCCACCTGACATCCCCTTCCCCACATTCAGCTCTCAGAAGGAAGTAACAGCTGACATGTGGAATATTTTCATGATGATGCTTTTACAGCTCATTAGCTACTAACGCCTACTATGATGCTGATGCTTTTGCATCTCACAGCTATTCAGACCTACCACCACTTTCCCATAAGTCAGCTCAGACAACCTCCTGTGTATGACAAAGCCCTGGTGATAGATTTAACAAATGGGTTGAGCAACGGAATCTTTATTCAGCTTGAAGAGGAAAAAGCATCCAAAGAGTAAAGCATGCATGGTAACCCTGCAGTACAGGGCAGCCCCCAACATGGCTCTAGAGAATTCAGGGTAATAGTTACTCCCTTCTCAGTGGAGGATTTTATTCTAAGTACTTGTTGGTTTGTGCAATTACCATTCCGCATCACTATTCCACAGAAAACAGTGAACAGGTAATCTTTCATTGCTGTCACATACCTTGTCATCTTTTCCTGAAGTCTTTTTTCCAGGCAGAAAGTCTTTTTCAGTAGAGTAGATAATTCTTTGCTTCCCCAAAAGCTAAAAATCTTTATGAATTCATGGGCAGAACTTACCTTATGGGGAGCTGGCAAAAGAAGAGAGAATTTTTGCTTAACACTGCTATCAATTTCAGAAAACAACATCTTGGCGAATGCTGGCCCTCTCAATTTTTAGCTATGCTCATTTCTATAACACAGAAGAATTTAACCAGAACACAACAGTCGCATTTAACTGGCTCTGAATTCTATTACATGACGAGACCTGCGAGCACAGTTGTAAAAAAGCAACTGATGCAACTAAACAAAGAAAAATACACCAGGTATTCTCACGCACTTCAAGGACAATACCTGAAGCATGTTATAGCATCACAACACCCTGAATTCCAAACATCTTCCCCCACCTGCTAGCTGTGAATCTGCAAAAGATAAGCATGCAAGTGTTAGATAAGGTGTTACCTACTCAAAGTAAGCCACAGCAGGGCTGCTTTCAGGATAACTAGGTAACTCTGATCAGATCTATTCATTTATTGAAATAACACCCTAATGTTGTTCTTTTTTAATTGGAGTAAGTCATAAATGCCACAAAACAGAAGTGTCATATGGCAGGTAGCTAAACACATCATTAACTGTCTCGGTAGACGTCTACAGCTCAGTGCTCTGTTTGAAGTACATACATCTAATGTCAGATTACTGCAGGTTTTTCTCTTATTACAGCAATTCTGTACTTCATTTTTATGCTAGTTGCATCTCAGTACAGCAACAGTAAACAAAGCTGTCACCACATGTATGAAAAAGGCTTTCTTATATTTTGTAGCATGAAAAACACTTTCTTCACTATAATAGTAATGTTCATATGTACAGTCAAGAGTCGATAGATAGATGTTTTCTTCCTGTAATGTCATGGAACATCCTAATAAAAGTTAACAAATAAGATATTCTCAGTTTACGCAGACTTAATTAGTAACAGTAACTTCTTAGATTGATGACATGCCACAATTAGATTCTGTGATGCACAGATTTCCAATTATCTTGTTCAACAACAGCAGTAACAGTCACCAGGCTGTGCCTAAATTTAACTATGTAGAAATGGGCTGGTAACAAGTTCAAACTGCACTGCAAAGTGACAAGCCACATCTTCAGTCACTTCAAATGGTACAGTTCAGTACATATGGAGATGAGCAACTGACAGCAAAGCACTTCAGTGTGCACAGTTAACAGACTCCAACATCACTTCTAACCAGGCACAGCTGTAAATGAGCACATCCCGACACTTGTTTTAGACAAGTGCATTCACAGATTCATCAGGTACATCTAGTGAGTGATTTCTCCAAAAGCTTCCTACACTATTGCATACAAGAAACCACAACACGTTGACTTCCCCCCACCACAAACTAACAAATATCATCATGTTTCTACAGATTACTTAACTCCAGATGTGGCATCTACAAGGTACATTTGTACATTATCTAGAAGTATTCTGATGGCGGAAAACTCACAAATGCAATATGGACTACATTTTAGAAAGGAAAAGAAATAAAGGTTTATTTTAAATACTGGTACAGACAAAATAGTAGTTTCGAATACTGTCCCACAAAAATACATAGAGGTTAACATGCACCTTTGCAATCAGGTCTGTCTGAAAGTAGAACAATTACACATAAGGAGGAAAAACAAGCCATTAAGAATTCTGAGTCCAGGAGGGAAGAAATTCAGGAGCATGTGGCTTAGCTGAATTCTGCATCAAAGCTGTCTAGACTCTCTTGCTCAGGGCTGACCCCTCTTATGTTAAGAGACCTGTAGCAAGAACTCATCTTTCAGAATAGCACTATGCTTCAAACAAGTAACAACTACTACATGTTTAGAGATTTAGCCAAGATTCAAGACAAGGTAACACTTCAGGTGCCAGGGAACCATCAGATGCCCTCTAGGATGCCCTAAGGTATCAAAAGTGCAACTCTCATTAATGCCACCATACTCTTCACAGAGCAGGCAGATCAATAGCGAAGTCTAGAATCTGTACATTCATGTGTGACAACAGTTTACTCAGTATTGCCTGCTGAAGCAGGACTCCAAATTGTTGAGGCGCCTTCCAGAATTGTTATTGCTGAGCACACTGCGTTCCAGAAGTTGCCTTAGAAGATACATACAACGTTGCGTACTTTTGCGTTTTCTTCTCGGTTTTGACTTTATTTTCTTTCTCATCTCCTTTTTCCGTAGTTTCAAAGCTGGATTCAGCTGTTAACCTACAGGCAAAGCAACCATTCTAAATACACATTTTGTTATTGAAAAAGAGGGCTAAGATAAGAGTTTCAAGCAAAGTCAACAAGCCAACTGGCATACAAGTCCATTCATATGCTAAGACAGAGCAAGCAGTGCTTAAGAGTAAAATGAAACTAATATAAAGCATTTTTATATCAGTCCTAGTCACATCTCATCGCTTGAAGTATCGCCTTCCCCTCTCATGCCCTTGCCTGCTGAAATGTTTGGTAAAAAAGGTCACAGAATGTATTAATGGGTTGGGATCAGCCTTTAAACCTCACAAATGCACAGTGCCCGTGCCATGCACATACAGGAAATCATTCACAAAAGCACAACTCCAAGTGAAAAGTCCCAGCAATGGAACACAAACGAGAGGAAGTCAAACATTCTGCTTTCACAAAACCAAATCAAGGACTACACTGAAAGCAATATATTAGTTTCCCCCTAGTGCTAAATTACTACTGCCTTTATCTTAATGCCCAAGTATTTGAAACTAAGTTGTTTCAACAGGAAAACAATTATTTCCAGGCTCTGAACGACATCATTTGCCACTGACATGTTTCAATTCTGCTGTGACTGCAAATGGTAACACAGCTGCCACACTGCTGTTAGAGGCAAGGTAACAATGAGATTTAGACATCTGAGCACAACTGGGTGTTTTGATTACTTCAGAATTACTTCATAATCATACAAATGTGTCATTAGAACAGACTGACAAATAATGGTATTCATTCAGCCAAATCACATACAATGAGTTATACACAGCCAAACAAGTTACGGAAAAATCAAATTCCAAACAAAACATCACATACTAACACAAATACTATGCTACTCCACCACTACACTAGCAAAAGCATCTCTCTAGTGACTTTGTGGATTTCTAGTGATCTCAAGAGCCTCCAGTGAGCAACCTCCTGCAATACAGCTGCTTTCAGTAGTGGGTTTCCAAACAAGAAGAGCTGCTATGCAGCTGCTGGAGATGTATTTGCAACAGAAATACACAGCTGAAGATGAGGACTATGAAAGGAGCTGTAACAAAGGCCTTTTGTGAAGTTTAACTACAGATTTCCCCCCCAGTCAATAATATATCGAACTATTCTTATCCATTGCAAGCAACCTACATATTATACCTCAACAGACTGAAAGGAAGCTATGCTTTGCTGTGCATCCTCCTAGGCCAGCAGTGTTGCCCCACCACTGCTCTTCATTAAGTTCACCCCTGTAATTCTAACGGGTAATCATTTTTGTCTATGGTTGGCTTTTCCCCAGCTGCTCTCCCTTTTAGCTGTGCTGCTACTTGCAAGTAGCCCAATAATCATATGGTTATCACAAGAAGTAATTATTTGGAAAGGGATAAAGTCCATTCATGTTAATCTGGATCTGGTTAGTGTTTAGTCTGGAGTTCAGCCCATGCTTCCCTGACAGCTCTATCTAGGATAGAGAGCTTGTTCCTGTGGTAGATGCTCTTCATTTGTCCCTCCACTATGCTACCTTGAAACAACCCTCTGTCCAAGGCCACCAGAAACAGTACTCCAGCAGCCATAATTTCCAGCAGGAATTTCCTGTAAAAATCCAGAACAGAGAAATAACTCAAACCAAAAAGCCAAGTCAAAATTTAATTGACCTAAATTATATTCTAAAGCAGCACAATTGGGTTTTATACAAAATACTCCGTTTCTACGTTATAAGGTAATTCTGTGAGTGTGCAGTGTAAGAACTGTGGAAATCAAATTCACAGCAGAAACACAAGATTGCTTCATAGCATTAAACAGCTGTTAGAATCTCTTACTTGGAGAGACAAAAGAATCACCTTTGCATGCTCTGAATGCACACCAGGATGGTTACACAAGGCAGCAAACAGTGAGTTAACTTCCTCAGACTACAGCCACCTTAGTAAATACCTGAAGTGATTTTATCAGAGGACTGACACTGGCTTATGAAAATGGAATGAGCCATTTCATATTATAAGCTACACTTCTATGTTAGTGACAGCTTTTTTCTGAATCGGCAATCAATCACGATAATCTACTTCATTACAAAAATTTTAGTTTGTGACAGTGAGTATTCAAAAATGCCTGAATATTCAAATCATTGAGCTTTAATGTGACAATGGACAATGCAAGCAAATAATTTTTTCCTCTTTCATTCTAAGTCTTTCATAGTTGGCCTGCAAAAGCCTCTGGATGATTATTCTGCAGCCTGAGTTGCTGAACCGCACTTTACTTAGCATACTGAATTACTTTTTGTTGAAAAGAACACATTTTACTAGTGTTTGACAGATCATGTCTACAGGCTGGTACATATCACAAGGGACAAATGAGTGAGGTTACAGAGATAACATTCTCAAGTAAAGAGCTGATCATCACCTTCAGATTAATTCTTTTCTACCAACCTTTATGATAACAAAGGAGCAGTAGCGACCAAATGTTATAAACTCACTGCAACCCCCATTCCCCTTGTGCCACGTGGTAAGGAGGAGGTAGAAGTTGGAAATGAAGGAGTAAAGTTGAATCTGGAAAGAAGGGCTGGGGATCAGGGGTTAGATAGTTTCTATTCTTTTTTACTGTCCCACTACTTGGAACTGACAATGAACTCTCCAGCTATTCCCCAAGTCTGCTTTGCCCACAACTAATTGATCCCTGTCTTGACCTCAACCCACAAGCTTTTTCCACCTTCTTTTCTCTCCCATCCTGTTGAAGAGAGGGAATGAGAGCAGCTGGGTGGGCAGTTGGCAGCAAGATATTAACCCACCACAGTCCTCATACCAAGGCCAGCTCACAGCATTGAGCACCCCTTAACAGCATTGGCATATTTCACCGAGTTTTAGCACAGGGCAAGGGATGGATCAGAAAGGAGAGAAGGCAGTTAAACACTCTCACTCGAAAAGACCCATTTGTGAAACTGTGACATGATTCTATCAAGCTGTGACTTTACAGACTCCAAAAACTAGATGTAATGGGGGCTCCTTCTACCCATTCGAGTAAGACCAAGCAGCGTCATCAGATGGGAGCATTATTTCCTGAGGATGAACATCATCACTAAAGCTCCACAGAGTACAGTTATCCACATCTCCTGCTGAGCCAAATGGCTACAGGCATTTGGACCATGTTTAAATGAGTTGGATTTGGTGTATATAATCCAACTAAATTTTAAAAAGCAAATAAGCTCTTAGGCACACAAACCCTTCCTGAGATCAAACTAAAGCAGACAAGCTCAAATCTAAATGCAAACTAAGTTGGGCAGCAAGGTCTGGTGTTTGCATATCGGTGTCAAACATGAAGAAAAGTATTTCAATGCAGAATTGTGTCTTTTTACTCACCAGCTGGCCTAATACAAGCCATCACTGCCTATAACCTTTGCATTGCCTGAACTACAGTAGCAATTCACAATTAATAATGACTTAAAATTTCAATCTTTACTCTCAGGTAGTATGTTCTCAACATCCACATGCCATAACATAATCAGCACCACCACCTAAATCCAGTATTTCAGTTTTTACTCGTTTTAAGTACACACATGTGCTGCAGATACAGACAGATGCTCTTAGCTCCCCCTTACCCAGCCTCATTTTACTCAATCACATCAGCAAAGAAGCAGCTTCAAATACAGAAATCTGTCACCCATACCAATACATACCGATCACTTCTGAACACTTCATCACCCCCCCGCAAAGATAACAAAGCTTTTCAACCAACCCTTCCTAGAAATGAAGGCTGCAATCCTTTCACAGTTACTATGACTTTTCACTGCCACGTTTCATAGATCTGTGATGACAGAGCTAGGCTAATGTCTGAACTACTCCACTTGCAAAAATATCCCCCAGGACCACAACAGCCTTCTCAGCTGGAGCATCACAAAGTAAAACACTGACAACTGCCCAATATTTATTTCCTCCCCAAAGTCTCCATTTTCAGGGTCCATTTTCTCCATTCCTGCTCAAGTTGTCCATATTTTTTGTGTCTTTGCATTTAGCTTGTGTTCCTATCTAGTGTCTGGCCACAACCACCACAGAACACTCCAGGGATTTGGAGTTTAGAAACCCAGCCTCTTAAATACTCAGATTTTATCAGGATTTGCTATTTAATAATAAATGATAACAGTTGAGGGTTAAGTAAATCCTCAATCTTATCATTATCACTAACTGGGGAGTTAGTATTTCATTAACATAAAAAATTGAATGGAACCTTCTGCCTGGGTTTGTTTTTCACAGGTTCATACCACCATTGAAAACAACTTAAAAACTTACATGGAGTTATGTGACTTTTTTTTTCCTGTTGTGTTGGTGATTATACTTTTTAAATCCATTGATTTATGATTTCTTTCTTATTTGCGTCAACAGCAATGGGTGCAAGATTAGAACCCTATGAACTGACTTCACCTTCCTCTAGTACATTTTTCCACTCACTCTGCTTTCAAATATCAACTCCACAAAATACTTTCCTCATCCCTCTCTCTGGTAGGTTTCCCCTTCACTTCGCATAAACCGTTTCCAATAACTTCCTGTTGGCAAACACTGGATCTTCCTTTCCAAAAGAAACAGGAGGAAATCAGTTGACCTCTTCACACCCTGGTTACAAGCTATCTGTTCCTTGCTGTGTACAGAACACCACCAAAACACAACACCATCACTAAACTATACAGCATTTCCTCTCAACTTGCACCCCCCACATTTGACCTCTGTGATCTTTCCTTGTCGCTAAATCCCCACATATTTTGACACAGCCCCTTAAAGTGCCAATTCTGCCATATTCTTTCCAGACTGTTTCAAAACATGGTACTGTTTGGTTACTTTAAAAGTGTTTAACACATCCAATGCGACCTTCAATAACTGATTTGACAGTCAAAAAAATCAATCCAGTTAAAAAATTAATGCCACTGATTAGGGTATACCACACAGATTCCCATGTTATACCTTCCTCCACCTCTCAAGCTGCTGTCATTTTGGAGTCAAACTATTTCTACTAGCAGACATTACCAGGTTCTAAGCTCCAAGTATCTAAATTATCCCAGATTCCCCCCCCCCCAACCACTTAAACACATTTACAAAGATTATGAATACGAACAGAATACAAAAGCATCAGCTGAGAAAGAGAAATTAGCACTCCTTTTACCAAGGTAAAAAAAAGTTTAAGGTAATTATTGTTTGAAGTTACTTTATCTATCAAAAAGTAACTGAAATTCTGTTCAGGGAAAAAACTTGATCTTAATTTACCAGTTGTGTTTATAGTTATCATGCATCCAGATTATGGAAGTCATTTGTCTGACAAAAAGCATCATAAATTGTTGGTTTTCTCATACAATGCAAATTCTGTTCATCAAATTCAGGTTAATAATTACTTAAATAATTTCTGGGTTTCAGCTAAATCTTGAAGTTGATGAGGGCTGAAATTCAGTCTGAAACTGAAGCATGACAGCTATTGCCTTTATTACATGATATGCTACAGGCATGTGGTAGCTCTGAAGGGATCAAGAAAACAGAAGAGCTATTTCTGACATCAGAGGAAACAGGGGACGCGCTGTCATGCTACGTGCACACCTTCAGCATTCTCAAGCAGCGCAAAAGTTATTTCAAAGATTGTTACAGTTTCAAGAGTCTCTTTTACTAGTCATCATCTTAGTCTTTCTTAAAGGTATTGAGAGGTTCAACGCAGGCAGCCGGAGCTGAGGAATTACACTGCATGCAACACTGAGGAAATAGATAAAGAAGTGGATAGCATAGTTCATGCAGCGAAAGAAAAGAGATGCAGGTCTGTGCTGATTGCCTTGAGCATAGACAGAAGCCGACACTGACCTGGGGGCAGCTGAAGTCAAGGAATTGCTTCCACTTCTGCTACATGAAGTAAAGGCATCATGATTCTTATCTTCAATTTTAACTCTCTTTCTTTCTCTTTCAGGTTCAGCTACTTTCTGCATTACTTGAACAGCCATATTCATTGGCGCTGCTTCAGGATCATGTTTTTTTTGAGAAGCACCACTTTGCTCCAAGTTCATGGAAGTCATCTTGATTTCTTCCTTACTTGGCAACTGAGTAAGAGCAGCTTCTTTTACTGAAGTATTTTTGCTGTCCAAGTATTCACAAGTATTGCCCACTGGAGCCTTCTCCCTCCTCTTTTTAATTTTAGTGCCCATAAATAATTCTAAGAAAAAAGGAATATATTTTTTGTACACAAGTGAAGCTGGAGTTAACTTGCCCACCAACACGTTCAGAATAAAGCAAATAAAGAACATTTTACATGACTAAAGATCTTGGAATAATTCTTCAGAGATAACTCACATCCCTTAAAGACTGTCCTTGATCTAACCTGTTACAGTAAGTAAGCATCGCAGTAGACGTTAGGTTGAAAAAGAGACAAAACTCTTTCTCCCCATTCACTCCACCTTTTTACCAAGGCTTTCAAATTACATGATCTGCACTACATGGGAATGCTCTATTATGTTATCTCCATTTTGGAGGCTCCTGAGGTAAGCTTCCACAACTAGGTTTTCAAAATTAAATCCTCTGGGCATGGGCAAGCATCAAAAGCAATTCACCCCTCTGGGTCCCCATTCATTCTCCTCCACCGGCTGGAACTCCCTTGTTTCTGCACATACCCGACTATCAGCCGGTTTTTGAGGGAGCCTCTGCTGTCAAAATTTAATCCACATTAGCTTGAGCTACTAAGCAGTTTTTCCTCTAAATGCTTTGCACAAAGCTCCTTTCAAGCTGCCTGCATTCAGAAACCCAGCACTTCTCATCAACAGATACTACTACTTTGATGAAAAGCATCTCCTGAGAATCTGTTCCCACCTACTTGACTGTGGTTATCTATAAAACTGCTGAACACTGTAACATGTACTTTTTTGTCTCCCAATATCAGTGTTTGTATACATACTGACATAAGATGAGAAAGACAGGACTTTACTATTTCAGTTCAGCAGGTTTTGGACCAGGTTATTATCACAGAGGCAGCCATTTAAATATTAGTTCATATCTTAACTAATCCAGTGTTTCCTGTTTAATGTCATTCACCTTGCAAAGGTTGAGAAGATCAGAGATTTCATTTTTCCCATATAGAAGAGTAGCATTTACCTTCAGGTTCATACTTCATTTTTAGCTCATCCAGCCTAACTCGCAAGTTCATATTTTCACTTTGGCAAGCTTGCAAACACCTCTCATTTGCAAAGAGTTTCCTTTCAACTTCTAGAACCCTTTGGCTCTCGTGCAGAGCCTTCATCCTCTGTAAAGACAGTTCATTTTTCAAGGTTTCTGTTTCCTTGCTGGGGTGGGAGGAAAATGATAGAGTTATACAGGTTCTAAGTAAAGCAGTACAAAGTCAACTAAGCATTCTGCACATAAAATTTGGGATTATACTGTAGTAGGAAATGCAAGAGACCTCTTCCAATACAATGAAAGTTTTCACTTGAACTTCACATAAAACAGTGAGTTTAGTTACCAGAGATAAAACTCGTGTTAAAAACAAAGCTGTATGCTGGCTTAGGAAACCTTCCATAACCTAGAAATTCACTCTTTCACTGGGAGTTTTCTAGTATAAATTTGCTGTGCATAAATTACTATAATTACTCCTGTAACAGACAATACAAACTTTACACAGAGGTGTTACTTTAAATACCCAACACAAAACTAGTTATGTTAATACTCAGTGCATTTCCTTGCCTCTGTTTCAGAGGCCATTAACTTCCACATCATAAGCACTGAATCTGCATTCCTTGGCAGTTCCAAAATACTTGGATCGTGCCAGTTTCTCGTAGCAGCACCACAGTGAGGCAACACACTTATCAGGAATTCACACAGCAGACCATTGCCTCCTGGTGCATGTGCAATACTTCAATCTGAGGGGTCAAAAACAGTCCTCAAGACTATGGACTTTCTAATTGATAGATATGGAACTCACCAGCCAACAAATACAACTAAAAAGTCCAATAAACATTTCAAGTGCTATTATCTGGCTGTTTTTAGAAGAGAAATACATAAATACACCCTGTAGTCTTGAAGAAGCTTAATATAGTTCCCTTACAGATTATTTTATTTAATTCTCAATTAGCCTGTATCTTGGAGCATTAACAATTCTAGAAGGCAACAAGAATTAAAAGTAGTTCTGCTGCTATCCTTTTGCAACAATAACTAAAACCAAAACAACTCACAGTCCCACAACAAAGATAGAATGGCTCCACAACATTGGAGAATAAAACAATGAGTATATTTACACATACAATCAGTGGATTACATACAAATAGTAACAAAAAAGGGAGAATAAGACCAAGTGGCTAGAAGATAACCAGACTACAAGCAATATCTAGGCCTTGGACCATTAGGTACTTACTTGGAGTTGTCAAGCTTCATTTGCAGTAAATCCACATAGTAACCATCTTCAGACTCCCCTCCTTTTGAGCTACAACTAGCTTTGGATTCTTCCACATTCTCATACAAAGTCTGATAAAGAAAAAAAATAATCAGGTTGTCAAATAGGGACTTTTCAGAGCACTTTAACTCAGTCCTCAGGTGACAGTTTGTAGGTATTTCTATGGAGAAGCCTCATCATAGAGGCATTTCGACACACAAGAGAGCTCAGTTGCTCCAAGTACTTCCTCACTGGTTACAGATGTCAGATAGCACTGAAACTGACAATTCTCTCGCATTCACCCAAAGAAAAATACAAAAAACAAGTTAGCCTAACCCTAGAAGGTTTTCAAGTAGCACCGAAAAACAGTTATCTTCCTTTCAACTAGAAAATACAGGCCATTTAGTTAACCTGCAGGGATTTTGTTTCAGTCTTTATTTCTAAGCTTCAGCAGCTGGACCCCAAAGGAACACAATGGCCAAGCCCTGAAAAATCAATTACATCTCTTAAACAAGAAAGTTGGTTCATAATAAAGATGCCATTAACACAATAAACTTCCCATAAAATACAGCAGTAACATGTGACATTCTCGGGGCTTGTTTCATGGGCTTTTTTTCTTTTTTGAACAAGCAGTACTCAAGGTTTAATACTACCAGTACTTTAGATGGTTATTTAATCAATTATTTAATTTCCTGACAGTACTTATCTATGGCACTGAGACAAAGAAAAATACTCAAACTTACACGTGACAGAAGTGGTAAAGCAATTGAGCTGTCTAATTGCTTACCAAAATGGGTTAAGCCTAGCTTTATGCCACCCTGGTTAAATGCAGAAAAGAGGATGCAAAAGCTAATATGCTAAGTTTACATGCCACAGCTGTGATAAGAAACAGCCAAACTAGTCCATATATATATACACACAAGAAAGCTACAGGTTTTAACTCTGTATACACACCAACCTCAGTAACAGTACACACAGGTCTTCTTGTAATATTTTGGAAGGGGAAAAATACAACAACAAGGTGATACCAACTCTCATACGAGGACTGAAGAAATTGCTTTAAAGGATGATGAAGCAAGTCAGTTTTTCTAGCAAAGGGCATGCTTCAACTGCAAAGTTGAGACACATGAAAAAATAAACATCTAAGAAATCAAATATAACTGAGAAACTAAAAAGTGGTAAAGCCAAAGAACACACAGTTGAAGGGTGAAATGGCTGTGCCTTTCAAGAAAAAAAAAAATCAGGTCACACCAATGACCTTTGCCACATAGTTGAATTTAAACACAAGTAACTATGTAAAATACAAAGTTGCTACACACAGGAACCCAGAAAAGATTGTTTTCCAAACCAGGGACTAGGTGGTATAGAATGTCCTGCTTCTCTGAGCTTCATAAGTGCATGTTCACCAGCTGTGAAATAAAACTTTGTTTAAATAAAGTTGTTTGGATTCTTTTCAAACATAAGCATGGATTTCAGATAGGTCTCAGAATCTTCCTTATTCTCATGCTTTAGCTTCCGATTATGACTTCTCCACTTAACTACAGTCCACATACCTTAAATTTTTCTAGCTGCCTCACTTTCATAAGCAGATCTTGTATCTCACCATTCTTCTGTTCTAACATTGACTGCAAGCGTTCCAGCTGATCAAATTCTGCTTGAGAGCCTTTCAGCTGGAGCAGTGTAACCATCTGCAGCTATGAGAAAAAGAAAAACAAAATCTTTACAACAAATACTGGGTTAAGTGACTGAAAACCTCAGCCTCTTACCCAGAAGAATTAAGGGTATGGAAGCCTTGTCATTTTAATCCTGAATATATTCTTCACAATTACCACCATAAGCTGACACTAGGAATTTTTAGGACAGCCGAAAGCTTACGGAACAGCTTAGTCCTGAGGTGTCATGTCTTTCCACATATTGACTAAGGAACCTATAAATATTCTGTCGAGGACACACACAACGTTTCACACTCAAACCATGAACACCTAGTCACCAACTGCAGTCCAAGTTGTTTATCAGAGCCAAAATGCATCTATTGTGTACATCTTACTTGGGAAAAAACACACTCTAGTTCATCAATGAGTTTAAAAACCTTTTTTTTTTTTCCAGTCATCCTGATTCTGAGGTATAGCTAACACTAAATTTGCCTTCTGTAATACCAATCCAAGAATTTTAGATGTTCCTTTAGTGGAACACACCCTTTTAAGCAAGGCAACGCCCTCTCTTATTACAAAAGGAGAAGTTTATCAACAAGTCTTGCATTTATCGCAGATTTTTCTGATGCCATTAACAATATCATCATAGTACAAGGGCATTAATACATACAGTCAAATGTGATACATCAGATGTTCAAACATGGGGAGAAACAATATGAAATGCAATAACAGAAAGACCTCGCAGGGATTTAGAGGTAACTGTAGCACTTTTCCCAGTCCAGCCAGTACGGATAAGGTACGAATGTAGGACACTTAGAGAAATCACAGGGAAAGGACCAACTTAAATTAAGACTACAGATTAACAGAGAAAAACAGAGAAGAGCATTTCCCTACAGAATCTCCTATATCTAGTAAAGGAGGTCAATGATCCTGTACACAAAATAGAACTAAAGAAAGATTGAGGCATCTCCTCATGGCTCCAACAGGACATAAGGGAGGCAAAATTTTAACCTCCACTAGCTGACTAAAGTTGTCCTTACATTTCCCAAGCCTGCAGACATTAACCTATTTTCCTTTTGTTTACAAGCCCACTTGCTAACTGGCAGAACTGCAGATAGCAGATTTAAAACAACCAACCAAAACAGAAACTGTAAGGGATACTGTGGGCTGTGGAAAATACACCAGACACGGTAAAACTTTCCCAATAGCACTGTCTACAACCTGTTCAGGAGTCAGATCTACCGAAGTCATCAGTAAATACCAAAGTCAGGCATTCTGACAATTACAGCTGCAACAACAGTTAAGTACACTGTGGGAATCAGCTGCTGAATGAAGCAATCAGTTAGCTACAGATTGAGCTTTAACATACAGCATCATAACACAGCACAAAGTAGAGAGGATCCTAACAGGGATCTAAGATAGCAAGGTAAGCAAAACAGCTGTCTTGACAAACTGCCTGTCTCCAGTGTTGACACTGCAAGAAACTGAGTACAAACTGAAATTCCAAATAAAACCACTAAGTAGAAGAACAGTGACAGCAATTTGCCTCAGTTCTTGGTCAAAATCTTCAGTATTAGGAATGTTTTTACACCAGTCAATCAGTATGACTGACATACCCTCATGTTACAAGCAGGGCATTTCTGAAGAAACAGATCCTATTCAACCACCCCCTCAAGTATCTAGCTCTCAAGGTCAGATTTAAGTAAAAGATAATTCCTTTGCTGCATCAGCAGTTGTCTTTTTTAATTATTTTCCACCTACTTCTCCTCACAAGCCAGGTAACACAGACTTACTATCGTCAGTGTTACTCCTTATCACTATGGATATTTAAGCACTCTCCTCAAACTGCATGTTCAAGTATTTGAACAAATGAAAGGATCCACACTTGAGCTGGAAAATCACAAGACCAACATGAGACCAGTTGGCAGTTTTGCAGCATCCCCTTCACATTATCTTACAAATTAGCTTCTGCTAACTCATTCTCGACAGTATTAACCAACAGGCTCACATCCTATGGGAGTCTAAATAGTTAAATAGTTAAGACAAAAGTTATTACTTTCTCTTGCACTACAGATAAGGTCAGAAAAATATGGGCAAACAAAACAAGAAAGCAACCTGGACAGAAGGAACAGAACAGTATAATGAGAGGACAGGGCACAACCCCTTTTCCTTACGTTCATTCCTAGCAAACATAGTTAATCCACAAGTAAACAACTCAGGTAGTACAAGAATTAGATTTAAAAAAAAAAGACAGACGTTTTCAAGACTAACTGAATGCTGGTTTGAATGACAGGAGTTGTGGTTTACCCATTTAACAACTATTTCAAAGTAAGCAAACACAGCACCTTCAGTATAACATGAAGTTCCAGTATAAAGTAGCAGCACTACTAGCAACAGAAAAACATTGGCGTACCATAAAAGTCAAATAGCACAATGACATCTCACTTACTTTCTCTCCCATTTCCCTCCCCCAGACTACTATAACATATTCAGAAGATAACCAAAGCCCCATCCTGTGCACCAAAGCAGCACCTTGTCAGACCCCAAGGAAACCCTGCAGTATTGCAGTAATGGTCATACCTTCATTCTTTGCAACTGTTCTCTAGTGAACGCATACTGCTTTTGTAGGGACTGATATTTTACTTTCACACTGATCAGCTGCCGTTCCATTTCTGCCCTACGGTCCTCCACCTACAGAACATTGTTAGCAGTTATTACTACGAAAACGATAACATGACTTCTTGTCAAGTGGATGATGAGTTTTACATGAGGTGTTACCTAGCAATCCATGTTGGTTCTGCAAATACTGCTTTTCCAGCAAGCGTACTTGAAATGATGCACTACTGTCAATATCTCTGAGATAAAAGTGAGCACACACAGTTGGAGCAGCTGAAGCCTAAGCACTAAAGTGCAGCAAATTTACGTTTTGATATCCAAGTAACATTGCATATGATTCAGTGCTGCTGTAGAACAGGTTTATCCATTGGCACGAGGAAAAAAAAAAAAAAGTGAACTGTGTACTAATTTAACCCATTCCCTGGGTGCTACCAGAGAACAAAATAACTCCCTATGCATTTAACAGTGGCTGAACTTCTATTCAAAGAGCTAATTCAAAAATTCTCCCAAACATGCAAACATCCAGCCATTTTCAGCTTGTTTCTAAAAGACAGTATTCATCAGCATCTTCTTATATTTCACATACTATCTTCTACACTAAAGACCAGTTACCAGCTGAACAAAGCTACTAAGAGCTAAAAGCTGCTGGCAGAATTGTCATGAACTCTCAGTCCCATCTTCTATCTTGACAGCAATGTCACTTTAAGTTATTCCATTCAGTTTATTAACTCCTCAAATTCAGAGCATGCATAAGAATTGTTTTCAATAGGTCAGTCCCCAGACATTTCAACAATGAAGTAACATTTGAGGATCAGAGATTCCTGCTGGCCAGATCAGATACAAATACTTGAATATTCTCAGTGTAATATAAGAAAAAAAACCCTTATGAAATATTTCTTCCCTCCTCTGTATATTTTTGGTTATCTGTAGAATAATTGTACCTCAGCAAAGAGAGAATTGCCTTTTCTTGTAGGGTCCAAAGACTGCTGCACTGCATGATCCAGCTGAACCTGAAGCTCCTGATTAGCTTCACGAGCTTTCTAGATTAAAGCAAAGAGGGTATTAGCCATTTAAGCATCTGATATACTGCATGTATGAATTTAATCAGATGATTTTACCTCTTTCATTTCCTATGCCTTTAGCACAGACTATATTGTACTGTGGTACTTAACTGTGCATACAGTTCTAGTCAATAAGAGAATCAATTTTGCTTCACGATTAGGCTTAATATTCCACTTTATTCCTTACTGAACTAATGGTACTGAGACTATTAGCCTTGTTCTGTTGTTTTGTCACAAATCTCTACTACCTAGTACAAAATTTTCCAAGGCATTCAGTAGAAACTTGAAATAAAAATCAAAATTCTATCAGTGACCTGTGAGAAGGTCCCATTATAAGACAGAATTCTGCCCTGCACAGATCTTCATACACAGCCTTCCACAAACGAAAGCCAACAGACAGAGTATTTAGCAAGAAGCAATACCAAAGATGACGAGCCAATATCCTCCCCCTCCAAACTCACACTTCACTAAAAAGTTAACAGCACAACTTCTGCCATTCAGGGATCATCTACCACTGTTGAATAACATGAAGAGAATACCTCTAATGCATTGCAGTAAGAAACAACTTCTTTTTCCCTTTCTTCTTTTTCTCCCTGTAGACGCTCCAGCTGATTACGCAGGTTACTGTTTATGAGTTCTAGTTGTTCTTTACCATACTCTAGTTCATTCAGCTTTTCTTCAACACTGGCCTAAACAAAAAACAAACAAACAAAAAACCCCAAACAAATAAAAAGTAGAAAATAAAGTATTTTTAAAACAATATGAGGAAAAGCAGGACCATGTGAACCAAATAGCATTGTCAGTAGCCATTACTTTTAAAACCAATTATTATCTTGAAGACCTTGTATGGCCTTAAAATACAGCAAGGCCATTTTGTTCAGTACACATTCTCTGAATAGTCAGCCAGTCATAAGGTAGCAACATACACAAAGTACTGAAAACTGAAAAGAGCAAAAGTGCAGGATTTTATCTTCCATTAGCCTACACTGCTAATCATGAAGTATTAGTCACTCACCTTCACACTTTCTAGTTCAGTAAGTTCTAGCTGAAGACTGAGCATTTCTGAAGACATGGTCTCATGTACACGTTCAGACATGATATGTAATTCTTCTGACTTGGCAGCAATTATTTCCTTCTGATGCTCTACTTTGTGCCTCAGTTGTTTCTCAGACAGCCGGGTTTCATCTAGTTCTGCTTTCAGACTCTCCAACTTAAAGACAGTGGATAAGTAAGTAGTACCATTTTAAAACAAACTCTTGCAACATACAATGCTTTTGACTGTTCTAACCACAGAAAATGTCTTAGAAATACAACGTAAGAGTAAACTCTTGAAAATAAGCTATGAAATTTTTTATAATTAACAATGTAACTATGCAGATGTTTGCTAAAAAATAACCAAGCAAGCTCCTACACATCTTAACTATTTGAGCTGTTTTGGTAGTAAGTGCGCAATTATGAGTTAAACACATATTCTTTAAAATGCTATTAGCAACATTTTAGCTTTATATTAGTTGGCAAACCTTGTTTTTAAGGTCACTGATTTCTTGTCCATAGACCCTGGCGAGCTGTTCTTTCTGTTTATCCAGTTGCATGCTTTGCTGCTGCTTAAGGGAATCACATTCAAAACTCAAGCTTTCCAACATTCGATTCTTGAGTTCAATTTCTCTCTGGAGAGAATATTTCTCTTGTTCAAATTTCTGAAAGAAATAACAGACTAATAAAGCTAGATGTAATATTTATAAATGTTTAGGGAGCAGTTTACTCAATACAGGCTCAGCATCAAGACACTCAAAGCCTCAAACCTGTAGCTCACTCAACCTTTTGTTAAAGTCCCATTTAGGGAATCATCAGACCCGTGTTTTAAAAAAAGAAAAACTGCCCTGAAATCTTATGGCTTATTTGGTTGTGCAACACTCTCTTCCTCATGGGAACTGAGTATCTCTTTGCACCCCCCACTAAGGCTGTGGGCATCTTTTCTACAAGTGTTAGAAATGTAGGGAGAGCTTAAGGTGCCCTTCCTACCACTATGGAACCTAATTATGTTAGAACTTATTACAGTCCATTCAGTGTTTCCCTACTGCACAAGGCTTCAATGTCTGCTAAAGACACCTAAATTGTCTACTGCTCTGAAATAAATCCCACAGACTACACAGACTTTTACAGAAGAGTACACAGACTTTTCTCAACGTCCCTTGTGCCTACTGTTAAAACTTGTGCTCATGGTAACTATCTTGGCTCGCAGATTTCTAAGAGAACCACAGATTCAAAAACTTAAAGGAATCTGTAGGATAACCACGGTTCCCACACAAGATGCTGTTCCACTGCATGAAAGCAGACAATTCCTTCCCTCTGCCCTTGGAAGTTATCAACTGATATAGCTCAGACAAGCTTTGTCCATAATTGTGCTCCAGCCTGTAACATAGGATCACAGCCTACGGATGCAGCTTCTCAACACACTAGCTACCACAGGCGTTTATCAGCAGAAAAGTATGATCCTTCCCCGCTTCCTTATCATTTATGCTTTGCAGCAGCAAACAAGCATCAAAATTAACATGTTTACAAGAAGTGGAAGAGATTTTCCCAATTGGAATGTTCTCAAACAATTACTATGAAGAATACGGTTGACTAAGTACTACTTCTGTATTTCAACACTATACTACTCTTTTCTGAGCTGTAAAGAAATGTAATAATACAAATTAGAATCCCTCAGTATTTAGAATATTTGAAAAAACCCAAGAATTCAATGTTACAGTCTTGCTGCCAGTGCTCCTTTTATAGCTTCAAGTGATACAAAGCTTACAGGGAGAGCATAACAAGAATTACTAAACATACCCAAAACGCATACTTTAAGACAAAAATAGCACTTCATATTAATTTTACATTCCTACATGGTAGCGAATGCTTGATGCACAGTTAGCTATGAAACCCTGCCCCAGTTCGATAAAATTATGCTGAATATCTTCAGAGAAGAGATGAAAAGCCCTCTCTACAAATATTTATACTAAGAGGCTTATTAAAATTAACCTAGGCTCTAAAAGGCATTTAAAACACCTGTGACATTCAGAAAAGAGTGAAAACAAAGTTCTTGACTACTTTTTCTACTCAGTTTAAAACTTCACCTCTGTTTTTTCAGTCAATTCGCGACGTGTTTCATCCAACTCATTTTGAACTTCACTTTGGGACTCCAATAAATGCAAGCCATATTGTGCTGCCTTTCTTCGTTCATTCTCTGCTTCCTTGAGTTGGTTTTTAAGGCTTAAAATGGTCTCAGTCTCCATTTTTCTTCCTTTTTTTACTTCAGCATAGCAAACACAAAAGGATTAAAAAATACACTGTAGTAAGTGACAGCAGTTAATCTGAAAGAAGTGATTGGATTTCCTGTCTTAATCAGGATACAAGGATGTATTTTTGCATTAAGACAAAAAAAAAAAAAAAAAGACAGCCAGGAACAAATACTCCTGTGAACAGTGAAGTAATAGCTATTTCTTCAATAAACTTGGTTAACACCTAACTATGTCTTAACTAATAGCATGCAACAAAACAACTCCTGTGTACAGACCAACTTCCTAGCCCACCAGAACCGGAGTTAATCTTTCATATAGCTACCTTGCCATGTATAAAAGAGAGGGTTAGGAAATAACATTGAAAATACACTTCTATGTATATGGCTGACAATATTTCCTGTGGCATTAGAAATAAACCCACAAATATATCATTTATTGTGTACACAAATAACAAAATCCATTTAGGCAGCTGTATGAGGATAGTTTACTCCTAGTAACATTATGTGGGATACAGAAAGAGATAAAGGTGAAGAGCCAAAAATAGAAAACCTGTCAAAAGACAAGGAATTTTAACACAGATTTATTTATTTGTTTATAGTGCTTAATGGAGTCTTTCATGTCTTTAAACTTCAGATAACCTGCTGCAGGTAACCTACTTAATAACTGCCACCTCTACCGTGTTTCAGAAAATTCACCTGTTTTATTCTTGTATCATAACAAAAGACACAAGTAAAGGTAAATTTTGCAAAAATTAGTCAAAATAAATCCAAACATGCAATTTTAAAAAAATAAAACTTAAATTAACACCATAAGCTTGCACGACTGCTTGCTCCCAAGTCTACTAAACCAGCACACTGCAAACAAATCCTATTAAGACAGAAAATACTAACCAACTCAACAACTAACCAACTGAAAATACTAACCAACTGAACAGCAAAATTCAAGAGTTCCCTCAAAGCATTCAGCACCAATGATGTACAAATAAAGACCACCCCTGCAGTTTATTTTTCAAAGCCAAGGTTCATATTTTTTTATATAATTCAAAGATTAATGGAACTTTTCATTGAAGGTCTTATTCTGTGCTTTTGCTTTTTTACATAAGGAATTTAGTTGCTGCCATTTTTTACTAGCACATATATTATTCTGATGTATATTATCAAGATCCTGATATTAAAAGAGCAAATTTATATAAGAGTATTTTTAAGAGTCATTATTGTAATGTATAGCCTTCACTTTTTATTTTTGCTACCTCTTGTTCTACATGGGTAATTCTTACTAGTTACCTAGCTTCCTATAAATGGAAACAACTTTAAAATGCAGGAGTATATCAAGGCAACACTGCGCCAATTCCTTTCTGAGCTACAAGATAGAAATTATTAAATTCTTGTTTACTCATTTTCCAACACTTGCCACTGTTATCAGAGTTTAACACAAAGAGACTTTATCCAGCCAGGCTCCAAAGCCAGTTTTTCACATCTAACCTTCGCAAGGCTTGAAATACTATTTTTGCACACTTATGCTAAAGTAAGCCACTGAAAGACAGGAATTTGGCATACATACAACTGAGAATAAACAATATTATTACTACTGCAAGGCCAGGTACAATTCAATAATGAAACATTAAACAGTAAGATGAATCAATTCAAGCATATAGGTTAACCACTGGGGGCATGCATTTCACATTAGTAAAAAAGATTAATTAATACTAATCACTTCATTAGCAGCATTTTAAAAAGAGCTTTATTTTCTGAACAAACACCAGTATAGAGGCAACATAGCAATTTGATAGCTTCTAGCTTACTAAGCTAAACTTGAGTTACATTCTTAACTCACCTTCAGAAGTCCATTTAAGTCTTTCTTGACCTTATTCTTGAACTCCACCTTTAGAAATAAGAAAAAAGCGCAACTGTTGTCTAGTCCAGATGAGTACAAGCTGCCATTACAGCACAGTCCTCTCAATACAAACTTAACGCCTGGGGCTGTCTCATGAAAATGCAGATCACAAGCTAAAACCCCACAGAAATGCAAATCTTATTCAAATTGGAGTTGAGGCAGCTGTCAGCTTAGAAACAGGCAAGCAGGCAATGTTGCCAAAGGACAGACGATCTTGCACCCTGTGGGGCAAGTAAACAGACTACACCCTGGGTCACCGTTCTACCACACATAATTTTTAAGGGTTATTTGGGGATTTTTGGCTTGTTCCCTCCTACTTCTTCTGTCTATTCAAAATGCTCTCCTCCAGTTTCACACACAACATCTCTGAGCTCTCCATAAATCATTTACACAGAGATGTCATAAAAAAAGATGTTAGGCTTTAATTTTATAGTTGAAGTTTAAATCAAAGCTGCCTTTAGAGCATAGACTTCCTCAAGTTTTTGTTATCAATTCTGTATGAAAATAAACAAGTTCAGGTAGCTTTGTTCATAAAGCTGCATTGTATAGGGTGGTAATTACCTGTAATTTAATACTATATGTGAGGTTAAGGAAACTACCTTGAAAATAATGTTTTAAAAAGTAGCAAGATGAGCGGGTAGGAGAGAACATACTAGAAATCTGTCTCCATTTATCCTACCAGAAGTTACAAGAGGTCCTCCGCTTTTGGCTAATAATCTTCGAACATTTTATGATGGCTTCTGTGCTGACGGCTCCGGTCCTTGGTTATTCAACCATTTAAGCACTCCTTTATAAAAATACTGGGGTAGGAGGCAGGAAAGCACTATTCTGGGGCGCAAGCTTCCTTTCCCACTAACTGCTCTTGTAGTTAACTGCTGTCCCTAGAGGTCACACCCAACGGCTCTCTCTGCCCTGATCTGCTCGCAAGCGCCTATGCAGTTTTCTGACCGCTAACATCATTAGGAAGTTTCTCTCCCGTAGGGCAGGTATCCCCACTACGCTCCAGATCAGCTACTTTAACACGTCCAGGTCTTCACCTCCCAAATCGCACACGCCAGGTGAAACGTTCTCAGGGCTCCTCACCTCCCACAAAACCCGCTCCCTGGTGAGCAAGTCCCACACCGACTGCAGCGGGGGGCCGGCCAGCCCCGGCACGTCCTCTCAGCACCTCACACCCGAGCAGGGGCTTATGACCGGTTCTGGCAGAAGAGTCCCCTTACCCATACCGTTAACCCTACAGGAAAAAACGGCAGAGGGGGAGCGCGCCCAACCCACTTCGCTTTACGCAGCACCTGCGGAGCCGCAGGGCACAGAACAGCCTTTTTTTCTCCCGGAACAACAGCGGAAGGCCCAAACAACGAGACCCAGGGAGGAACAGACCTGCAAGCCGCAGGTCTGAGACGTCTGCGGGGCGGAAAGGCGAGCATAAAGGAGACAGGACCACACCGAGCCCCGCGGACCACCACCTACAATGGCCCTTAGGCGCACCCCCAGCTCACCGCTCACCGCCCGCCGCAGCCGCCGCTCCCGCAGTTCAAACTCGGCCCCGCGACACCGCCCCAAGTCTCGCGAGAGCTCCTGCAACCACCGGCCTGCTCCTCCTCCCGTCAGCTCCGCCCCAGCGCGCGTGGCGTCACCGCCCACCCGGGTTGGCGCGCTCCTGTGAGGGGCAGTGCCTGAGGCGGGAGCGCTGTGCGGACGTCGCAGCCCTGTCCCTCCTGAGCGTGTCGTGTAGAAGCCGCTCCTCTAAGCTTGGTATGGTGCGGAGTAGGCCGGTGAGGGGGGCGTTAGCGCAGAGACCACGGGTTATGTTCAGAAGGAAAGCGGAGGCAGTGAAGTTAGCAGCCCAGCTGTAGGTGACCGGCCGTACCTACTGAAGAACGCAGGAGACTGGAGGTGCAGAGGATGTGCCTGGCTCCAGAGCCACAGGCAGGGCCCCCTCACGCAAAGGAAGCACACAGAGTAAGTGAAGAGAGGAAAAGCGTACCTAGTGCTGCGTGTTACTGGGAAACCTGCAAAGCAGAGGATTCTGCACAATATTCTATAGGAGAGGCTTTGGTTCTGGCAATAGAACGGCATAAGTGTGATTTATCCCAATGCCCGCTTTCCTCAGCAGGGGCTGCTGAGGCCACCTGCCCGTGAGGGGATGTCACCATCTTCTTATTAACCCAGACCTTTCCCTGGAGCCTGTAGAGGTTAACATCCAAACTAAGAGCTACACAAGTTACAATGCTCGCAGCGCACCTATCAGCCAAACAATTAACTTCCCGTTTTTCTCCTCAGCTTGCTCTAATTTCTACTCATTTTTAAGTCATGCATCAGGGAGGGATTTCATAGTGTTAGATTGTCCAGAACTCACAGATTTTCTAAGCCATTGAAGATCTCAGTAATGCCCACAAAGATGAACAAAATTAATCAGATGGAGCATTTCACTATGCAGTTCTGATGGTTGAGATCCCACGCATAGCTGTCTATGTACCATTTTTTCTACCCCAAAGGAGAACCTGAGTAATTTTTACCTTTTACGCAGTGGTTAAACTTTTAGTTTGTTCTGCAGGATTCATGTATTTATTGCACTTTCTCTAACCACATCAGGGAGTTTGGAAGGTTTATTCTCATATTTAATGCAACATTCCTAACAAAAGCCATTGCACAGAAAGCAGATTCTGCCTTTAAAGAAACATGCTTCTGGTAATGCAAGGTTAAATTCAAGCAACGGGCTTTAAGTAGATGCAAGGATAATGACCCGATTTGGAGCAGCCAGGACAGAAATAGATGTCTTAAGATAAAAAGGGCTTGGAAAATAAACACGTAGTGTAGAATTCTACAGAGGAAGCCAGTAAAACTACCACTACTGTCAGAATGATACTACTTCTGCCCTCCTGTCAAAATGTGAGTTTAGCTTTTGTAAATAGAAATGGGTTTAAACATTAAATAGAGACTTGTCTAAACTGGCAAGAATGCCGAATTGATTAAAACAGGGTTAGGAAATGAGAATCCTGTTCTAATCCTGATTCTGCTGCATTCACCATGTGATTAACCACACCAAATACCCACAGCTAAACCCCCTTGTTTTACAAGGATAACAGTGACTTATTTAACAAATCTGTATAATTCTCTGCACATTTAGTAGAGTGCATCTTGGAAAAATATAAAATACATTGTAACTGCTAAGTGTTAACATGATTACTCCACCAGATCAGTTAACTGCTATAGCATGATAAATCATAAAACTGTTAAAATAGCTGCTGCTTCTCCCACACCTTCAGTTCCACTGTCATGTGGAGCAGCTGAAATATGAAATACGGTAGAAACTCCGTAGTATTTTCCTCAGTTTAGAATTTCAATTTATGCCTTTAAAATAGAGTCAGGAGTTTAGATACAAGTAACCAATTCATTGTTTAGAACAGTTCTTCAGAACCGTTCTCTTTCCCCTAGGATACTAGGATACTGTTTTACAGATACCATCTACTTCTTGTGAGTATAAAACGCACACATTAGATGCTATTATCTGACAAGCAATATAGAGTTGTCTAGTGGAGTGATTGCTACAAGGTCGTTCACCAATGTTACAATATCTAATAGTTTCATTGTACCACTATTTATAGTTTGGGTATATAGCTGGAGTTATGCTTAGCTTTGAAGCTAGCTGTTTCCTTAAGAGTATAGAATGATCAGGTCATTATGTCCATCATTTGTAATAAATTTGCCCCACTGAGGTATGAGAAAACTTGTACGTTTCATGTTTCTCTTCAGTTTGGGTTGTATCTAGTCCCTTGCTTGCCAATGCAACTATATATTTGCTCTTAGAAACTTTTCTCCTGCTTATGACCTCAATAACAGCTATTTTCCTAATATTCTACAAATCCAGTAGTTACTGGAGCATAAATATTTCCTAAGCATATTTACTTTTGTTTATTGACATTTTAGATCACTAAATTTAATTGATGCGCTGCTGACCCTGTATAAAATGTAAATGCGTGGTTTGTAAGTCTCATCTATGCTAGCAGGCAAAAATTGCATACAAGTAGTAGAATAATTTCATCAAGTAGATGTGTTGAGTCCCCCCTCCCAACCCTCTAAACAGGGGGCTTGTTACCTTTATTTACATAAAGTCAAATGACATTATAAAGCCCCCACAGTCATTCCGTGCTAGCTGCTCAGTATCACTTATGAGCTGGCAAACACGTTAACGTGCTTGAGACCCCAAATGGTATATGAAGCCAGCAACTAATAGCAGCCTATTGAGAAGCACCTCATCAGGGGTGTAGCTGTGCAAGTCATTTTGGCACATGAGATCCAGGGCTCACTGTGGTCAAAACTTAGGGGCATTAGGTTGTTGAGGGTTTTTTTTTGTGTGCATGTTGTTGCTGCTAATTATTTAAGAACATTCGATTTTACACAATTTAAAGTCATGTTACTTTATTTGCTAGTGGAACTTCATAAAAGCTCAGGTTTAACCCCTTCCATGTATTCCAGTTGCTAAATGTTAAACTGTTCTGCCTTTTTTTTTTTCTTGATGGCACACTTTTGCCTCCAATTAAATAGAATTTACAGGTGTATATGTTTTAATTTATTACTGTGAAATCCAAGAGCAGTAACACTAACACCCAAGCTGTTTTGTAAGGAATTCACGTAGCTCTTTAATTACAGGACCAGATTGAGGGTCAGTAACATAGTGTTTCTAATCCTCTCTATACCAGATTGAGGGTCAGTAACATAGTGTTTCTAATCCTCTCTGTACTATTTGAGACTGACCTCATCCAAATGATTTCATCTCACTACTTCAGTCATCTTCACTAAACAAATATGTTTGGCTTTTTTTCTTACCATTCTAACTGTAACCAGACTTCTGTGAGTTCACATCATTACTTGGCAAAAATCTGGCTAGTAGGTGTGAGAGGCTTTCAAATATAAGCTTTCAGGTATTCTCTTATGAAAACTTTCCAGTACTTTTATTTAGATTTGTTATATTCTTTACTACATATTTGAGTAGGTCAGGAGCCTCACAATAATATTCCTGGATTTATGCAACCAAGGGGTCCAATTATGAAAACATGCATTCTTCATG